CGTCTGCCGAGGGCACACGGCGAGCGGGCTCGGTGTCACCACCACGCATCCTTCCAGAAGAGGCCGCAGGGGCGGGAGTGACAAGCACAGGGGCCTCGTGAGTCTCGCGAAGCTGGTTTGAGTCCCGGCTCTACTGCTCCCTGGCTGTGTGACCTGGGGCAAGCCCCTGCACCCCTCTGAGTCTCTCTGCTCCTCTACAGGCGGGGTAGCGGTCCACGCACACGAACGCTCGATGAAATTCGGCAAAGGGCTGTGGAGCAGCTGGTGAGCCAGGAGCCTGGTCTTCCTCTGAGGAAGGGCCCAGAACCGCGGCTTGTGTGACTTCCCACAGCCCTCAGAGGTTCTTGTCGTCTCCACTTTCCGGTGGGGAAGCCGAGGCGCAGAGAGGCCCAGTGACCTGCTCGGCTCACACGGCAGAGTAGCGGTCCGGGTATGCCCCGGGCAGCTCATCTACCCGCCTGCAACCCGCGGTCCCTCCCTCTTCTGACTGCCCGTCCACCACCCCACGGGGGCTCTCTTTGTGGCGGCTCCCACCTTCCACGCTGGGGGGCCGGGGACCCGGTGCGGGTCCGGAAGCGCACGAGTCGGCTCACGCCTGGGCGTCCCAGCGAGCGGAAGAGCCAAAGGCACAGCGAGCGGAGGCGCTGTGGCCCCCACCTCCAGCCTTGCCTCCCCCCCACCCCCCTTGAGAACATTCCCAGACCTCAGCCCGCACGCCACAGGCCCATGGGAGACCCTGTGTCTTTCCCAGACAGCGTATCCAGTCCCCGGCTGAATGTCTCTAATCCGTCCGCAGAGGAAGCAGCTCTCCGAGGCCGGGCGGAGCCGGTGGGAAAGAACATGGAATGTGCCGGAACAAGCCACCCCATCCATCACTGTCCCTGTCCGGCTGTGGTTCCCAGCCCGCCCGGCCTGGCTGAGAACTGGCCACAACCCAGAGCTCCCAGCCCTGGGTTCTAGAACCTTCCTCTGCCTGCCTCAAGTCTGTATTGCTGCCAGAAGTAATAAGCCCCTGCTTTGATCATTTGGGTCTGATTTCTGCTGGTACCTCACCTGACCCTTACAAAGGTCATGAGAAACTAGGAAGGTGGGCAGGTAGCCTGCCTCAGGGCCTTTGCACCGGCAGGGACCGGTATTGACAGGTAGGTAACAAAGCGATGGTGATAAAGTCCTGAGTGCACGCTGGGCCTTGACCTGGGCACTTCACACGAATCACCTCAGCTCACCCCACAATAAGCATATGAGGTGGGCAGGTGAGGAAACCCAGGCCGTCTGGCCCCAGAAGCCAGTCTGTCCGTGGAGTCCTGGGACGTGCCCCCTGTCAGGACCAGGCAGGCCCGGCTTCAGGGCCCTGCCATCCCGGGATGCGGCCGCAGCCCAGGCCCCTCTCCTGGAACTGATGCACGGGGCGGAGGGGGGCCACAAAGGTTCGGAGCCCCTCTCGAGTTCCCAGGATGACAGAGAGGCCAGCCTCACAAGTAACAGAGCAGAAGCCTCCGCAGGGCTCCGGAAGCTCGGTGCAGGCCCCCTCACCCCCTCTGCAGAGGGCAGAACCCGGGGGTGCGGCAAGGACTCTGGGCACGCTGCCCCCCAGCCTCAGTGTCCACATCTGTACGTAGGGGTGTGGGACGACTGCTAAGAATGCACCGCGATCTCGGTGGCTCGGTGGCTCTTTGCCGAAGCCAAAGGGAAACCCACGTTTGCAACCGGTGCCTATTTCTCCTTCGGTCACTCAAGCCCCCCGCCAAGGTCGTCCGGTCAAGACCAGCCTCACGGTGTGCTCCACGACCCGGTGAGGACCCGTCCTCACTGTCCCCGAAAGGTGAGGGCTCCACGGGGCAGGTGAGGGGCAGAGCCGGGGGCCGGACCTGTCCCTGAATTCCCAGCTTCTGCCCCTGGCCCGACAGCAGGCAATATTCTAAAACTCCAGCCGACGTAAACCCATACGCCTGCCCTTCTTGGGAACCACAGGGCCAAGACGTGTTCCCCAAGACTGTACAAAGTGGCTTCCCTGCCCCTCAGCCAGCACCCCGAGAGCGCCCATGGGCTCCTTCGTGCCTGGCCCGGCCCGTCTCCGCCCTCATCTCCCACACCTCCCCTCTCCGAGTCTACTCAAGTGCTCCTACCTCAGGGCCTTTGCATGGGCTGTTCCCTCTGCCAGGGAGTTTTTCCCCCAGATACCTTCATGGTATCGTGAGCTCACCTCCCCTGCATCTTTGCCCAAAGGCAACCTTCTCTCTCAGTGAGGCCGAGTGTCCAGAACCGCGCCGGGCACACGGTAGGTGCTCTGTACGTACTTGAATTACCACCAGGAGAATCCGGAGGGGAGCAGTTCGTGACGGCAGCCTCCGCGCCTCACCCGCTCCCTTCCAGCAGGTGTGAGTCCCGGCCCCCTGCGTGTCTGCCCCGCTGGAGGGTCTGCAGCCCAGCCTGCCCCGGGGAGAGCCCGGGGATGCCTCGAGGGGAGCGCGCAGCACCCCGCGAGAGCTGGGCAGCTCCGAGGGAAGAGCAGGGCCTGTCCCCCGCAGACCCTCCAGCCGCCCCTTCGGGCAGCCCCACCCCGGAGCGGGGTAGCTCTGCCTGTCAGAAGCCCCTGGTCTGTCCGTCCGGGCTGGGCCTGGGCTTCCGGAACCCCGAGCGCGGGTGGTGAGCGCGCCCTCCTCACACGCCTGCCCTTGAGGAGGACATCCCTATCGCCCACTTTCCAGTGGGGACACCGAGGCCCAGCGTCACACAGCAAGGGAGGCGCCCCACAGGGACCCGCAGTGGCCCCCTACTTCCTTCCCTGTGGGGGCCAAGCTGCCGTGTGGCGTTCGGGGCCACACACGATCGTGCCCCAGCTGCCGCGTAGCCACGTCCGCACCGCCCTCAGCACCCGCAGCGCCGCGCACCGGAAAGACGAGGAGACGGAAGGCGGGAGGCCAGGGCTCCGCCTGTCCCTCCTCTCTCGGACAGCGGCTCCACGCGGGGCCCAAAGCCCCCTTCTAATTACAAGCCCGACTCCACACCCACGGAGGAGACAAGAAGCCACACGTGCTCCCTGGAGGGCGGGACCTTCAGGGGGCTCAAGGGTGTGTTCGCGCGTGGACCCCAGCGCAGCCCAGCGGCCGGCAGCCCTGTAAGGCCCAGAGCCGCGCCCCCGGTCTGTGCAGCCGCCCCCCCGAGGGCTCAGCACCTCCAAGGCCTCTGTGCCCACGGGGGGCGTGGGC